AAATCTGCAGGTAAAATAAACAATATTAAATGAAATTTATTGTTATTAAAATATGTTTGTAAATTTAATATGATTCACCATATTTATAACTAATAATTTCATTACTTATTTGATTTTAGAATTATGGACATTATGCTTTTTTTTAGGTAAATTTTGATATTAGCTTTAAAAATGTATATGAAATTATAAATGAAAGATGAAATCATACATTACACCACACACCCATGTAAAAATATATAACTTTATTAATAAATGATCAATAACATTTAGCTTAAAAAGGACTATGACGTATATACTAAAAACTAATAAATATATATTATAAAATATTTAATTTCTTTTAAATCGCTAAAATAGCGATGGTAGAAAAGCAAAAACGAACGTTTGTTTTTCTTTGAATTGAGAGTAGATTCAGTATCTGTGCATCTATGTCTGTTATTTCTATGACAATTTAACAGCTGTWTATTATCATTTGAAAATGCTTTCGACTATCATAAGTCATTATTAATCAACAATGGATAATTAATTGTGGGCATAAACATAAAGAAAAATTTTAAGTGRTTTTGTTTTTTGGTTTTCTTATTCAGGACTAATTTTATTATTCAATAGATAATATACAGAAAATGTTGTTTATGACCTTTTGCATTTCTACCATTGATATATGTATAACGTGACCATAATTTTTTTCCTTCAAAGCGGGACACCTGTACATTTTAATAAGAAAACCATATAATTTTGCGTAAAATAACAATTTTTTTTATTGAATAAAAAACATTRATTGTTTATATGAAAAATGAGAATATTATATTAATCATAATAGTCTCCCAACAATTATGGATTTTAGTGTTTCACAGTTTATATAAAATATGTAGGTATGCGTCATATACTGTTAACTGTATAGATACAGACAGTCTGTATAAATGTATGATTGTGATATGTGATCAATAATTAATAYCTACCACATGTCGACTTTTCWTAAAACGGGACATTTTTAGGTTATTTGGGGACGGAGGGACACTTACCTCGAAAGCGGRACTGTCCCGTCCSAAGCGGGACGTATGGTCACGTTATATATGTATCGCCTAAACAGTACTTATATACCCACAAAAACAAAATATCAATGAACTTACAGCRTCYAATGTATCTCCAGCTAGGGCATATTTATTGTCCGAGTATTTGTTTTCATAAATAGTTACTTCATCAATGTGAAATACTTCATCTGTAAAATTGTAAGATTTAAAATGTGAAAAATAAATTATGATAAATACAGTTACAATTACCATTTGATTCATCTAATTCTGGGTTTTCAAAATTGTTGGCATAYGAACAATTGAATCCAAGAATAACATCACCTCGAGTTATATCTATTTCAAAATCTGGCTTAGATCTTAAAGTAACGTTATCTACTCCTTCAGTTTCTTCTTCTGTTACTGAGTGGTTGATATTAAATTTTATGGCAATTCTATAAACAAACAKGCTTTTTGTTTAGAAATTTAAAATACATTTATTTAAATGAAGAGTAGATAAAATAATATGGTCTGATAATAGTACAATATAGTAATTATACTACTACCTAAATTTTAATTAATTTAGAAAATTCATAGAGGTAAAATTTGATTTTTGGTTTCATTCAGGACTACAAATTAGAACTTATTGTAATATTGTTTAAATATTATATACTCCACGCCAAATGTATGTGTGGTTGGTGAATTCTACCTACTATTAGTACCACTTGATATATAAGGTAATGTTCACACAAAAACTGCATTCCCATAGAGCGCTAAATAAATTTGTGGTACCAGCTATAGAATGCTAATATCCATACATACATTTGGCGAGACTAGAGTAAATTTTTTATAGTATAAATCCAAACAAATTAAGTGATTTTTTTTAGAACTTGACATTTYATAAATTAACAGGCAGTTGAATCAGWGGCACAGCTAGAATTTTTTCAAAGGTTGCATAATACAAACYATCACAAAATTGTTATTAATTTATTTATTAATCCATATAGGTATTTAAGATTAAATTAATGTACTTAATAAACTATTTAATACTGCCAAAGGTCTGGACAAAAGGATACTCCCATAATGATAGGCCAATGGATGCGTTATTCATAATAATATGTAAGTATACATTCCATAAATAATATGTAGATACACCTAATATAGTTTTTTTCTAAAGRTTAGGTTRGGTTAGGTGCCTAATAAGTTTCCAAAAGTAGTAATAAGTTTATTMCATATGAGTAAAGAATTTAATTTATGGTACCTAGAAGACAGGCAGGTGTCTAAAATGCTATAATACGAGTGACAYAAATATCTAATTGTTTATAAAATCAAGATTGTTTATRAAGAGTCACAAGTAATAGAYAGAAGAATATGAGTTTTACGTTTCATCCAAAGTTTTTTTTGTCAGTTCTACTTCAGCACCATCAGCAGATACTTGGAATCCTTCGAATGTTTTAGGTAAATGTGATTTGTCAGACGTCTGTTCTTCACTTTTTATTTCATTATCCAAGAACTGTAATAATTCTTTTTCAACTAAAACAACAATGTGGTTAATGTTAGTACCTAAATTATATTTTAAAAATTCATCATATAATAAGGATTTWAGATTACAACAATTAAAACAAACCAGATGAATGTGCAAGCCGTGCGTTGAAAGGTCGTATTTGATCTGAATTTCCTGTWGCGAACCACAGTGACCGATAGATGGGTGCCGTTGATATATTTTTGGTACAGTTATTGACGACCACATTRGAAATTCTTAGGGTAGATCTCAACGATCTGATTAAAGTATTCATGATTAGTGTTATATWAAAACACAACGACAATGAATAACGTAACTAAATATAAAAATAAATTCTAGTATCGATTCTAACGATATAAAATATGCACTATGCAGTAATTTGAGTAATTACTAAAATACTAAATACTAATTTAAATGAAATAATATGTCATGTGCTTCACAATGGATATGGAGCATGGAAGATGAAAAACAATTTCACCGATTCGCCGACTGCACGAGTATTATCAATAATTATCATCACAACCATAGACATATAAATATATTTATATGTCTATGGTTTCTACCTGCTACCRYGTATCATTATTATTATAACATAACCTCAAATAATTGACTTGCTTTTTTTACCCGCGAAATTTGTATTTCGTTTTCRTATTTTSAATTTTTCATTTTTTCATACACACGAGCGTCGGAGCGTCTAGAGCTTAGATTATAAACAAAAACAATAATTTATTTTTATTTAACCAGTAGACCTTATGTTGACAAAAATTTTAATGTATTTTTAAATACTGAACGAAGTGATGAATGTATTGATTTTACAATGATGTGTTTTTTGTGTCTGTGTACAGCATAACTAGTCGAA